GCCATCGGCCAAGCCTGCCGCCAAGCCTGCCGCCAAGCCTGCCGCCAAGCCAGGCCCGACGGCCAAGCCGAGTCCCAAGGCCAAGCCGGCCTTGCACGTTGCGACATCGCTGCCGGACGACGTCGGGAGCATGACCAACCTGATCTTCTCGCCGTCGCACTACCCGCCAACGTCGACCGAGTTTTACATTGCCCAGCTCTTGGAGCGCCTCGTGGCGTCGTCGGACATTAGCGCGGGCCAGCAAATGGCGCTCAAGACGCTCATCAAGAAGCAAGATGCGCGTCTGTTTGCGGCCGCCGCGTCGTTCCAGCGCGACGGCGACAAATCTGCGCTCGTTCCCGTGCTGCACGACCTCTGCGGTGTCTTGAACTGGGAAGCCAACCACCAAAGCATCCTCTACACGTGGTGCGTCGTCGTCGACGGTGTGATTGCATCGACGCATGATCCTTTTCCTGCGTCGTAGGATTGTGCCGCTCGAGCAAAGCGGGCGTGGCGCGGGTCTGCTCATGGCGGCGTACTTTCTCTTCCTGCAGGACCGGAATGAAGACGACTTTACCGACACGCTTGTCCGACTGGCGACGAGTTGTGCAACCACCGACACGGCGGTGGCCAAGCATGCGCTCGACGAGCTCGTGACGGCCGGGCGTCTCAGCCAGGACGTCGAAGAGCATTTGGTGCCCGAGGATCCGCGCGTCCTCGCCGCTCTTGACGTGTACGCCGACAGCCTCGACATTGTACGTCGCGGAGGCTAGAAACACGTTGATTACGGTGGCTCATGGTTATGCTATGGTAGCCCGACTTGGTCGATACACTCGAGCGCATCGCGTCGCCCGACTCGACAGTCGCCAGTTCGCCTTTTAGTCCACGCACCACCGACAAGGACGACGACGACGAGAAGCGTGTCGTGGATGTGTCGGTGATGGAAAAACAGATCTTACACCTCGTGTCCGAGCTCGGCTTGCCAGAAGACGAGCTGCTCGCACTCAAAAGTGCTCTCGTTGAGAATGACGTCGTCGTCCAAGCCGCGATTCAGGTGTTTGAGGCCGAGAAGGACGAAGAGGACTTTAAGGACACGCTTCGACGCGTCGCCCGGCACCGCGTGAGTGCGTCCGAAGCCGTGCCGGATGCCGAGATGGTGATCGAGACATAGTTGTTTTTGTTGCTAAGCACGCACAAGAAGCACGGTTCGTGAAGTCGCCATCGTGACCTTGGGACATGCTGCAGTGGATTACCTGTATGCACGGAGATACCTCTTGACGCCGGGACGCTACAGCAGGCGGATGCGTGTCTGGTCCGAGTCGCGGCGTGCGTCTATGCTTTGCTGGCGCGAGCGTCCGATCAGGTGCCTTTTCTAAGCACATGGCTCATTGCTTTGTGCCAGTGGACCTCACTTGCATCTCTTTATGCCCGCTACGGACGACGTATGGGAGCGTACCGATGCATGGTTTCGTGTGCGCGGGAGCCATGCAAGCCAGGCGACGAGCGGCCAAGCGTTGCTGTTCCAATGACTCGAGTACTACTACTCAACCGACGGTGCTTCATATCGCAGCGCGGATGACAAGTCTGCAATCGCAGCAGGCGATTTTGGCGCGTTTTATGGGGCGGCGCCATATCATGCGGGTGCGTCGACGGATCGACATAGACAATGCAGAGAAGCATCGGCGCCCACATGTCTCGTACCCATTGTAGCTGGGAATTGTATGTGCGTATCTAAGCTCGTACCATAGTCCTTCGCACTGTTCGACTGCGGGGACGATCGAGGTCGAGCAGGCAAAAGCCAGTGCGTTGTCCATCACAAATTCCCTTAAAAAGTACACATGGCACGGGTCGGCACTTGCGATGGTCGGTGGAGAAGGAAGCTTCGTGCGTCGACAAGCGCTACCTAAATGACCCTTGTCGCGATCGTGTCGAGCAGCAAGTACGCACTGTAGCAACGATGACCATGGTGGCACGACAAGGTTGCACGCTACATCAAGTTGAAGTTGGTCGTGATCACATTCGTATGGTGTCCGAATAACGCTCATCACTCCTCAACCAAGGCGTTTGGACAACGTATTGGATGCAGTCGACGCCTTGTGTCGCTAGACAAGTTCGATCGGGAACGGCCAACGTACTGCGGAGCAGCCCATGTCCAAAGATATGTACTTTTTAGTGCAATTCAAATCCCCTATTTATGACCCAGCGGCAATGGCGCCATGCACCTTGTCTCTGGCGCGATGATTTGTCCCGAGCAAGGTTTCTATGCGGGCTCCGTTAGGGACACGCAGGCGCGCTGCCACAAGCCGCCTTTTGTCTCTGTTTGCCTCAGTTTTAAATTTGCATCAAATCCCAGCCAGCATGACGATGACACAGAACTACCGCATGTGCCTCACCGAAGCCCGGAAGCGCAACGTGTACATTGTCGCCCGCCTCCTCAACGACAGCGCGTCCAAGAGCAAGCTGCCAGCAACCAAGCTCTCGGCCAAGCTGCCTCTGGTCGCGTACAAGATGGAGCACCGCATCAACGAAGTCGCGCGCGGCCGCGTCCTCGACGAAAAGACCATCAAGGTCCTCCTCTTGCACTTGATCCAGCAAGCCCACCGCCGCCGGCGCCAGCAGCACCAGCTCCAGCAGCAATTCACGCAGCAACAGCAGCAGCAGCAAGTACCGCAAACCCGGAGCACGTCGGCAGCGGTCGTGGCGGCCGCCGTCTGAGCTCGCCACCGCGCGTATTTATTTGACTGTTTCAAAATCGCGACCCAGAGGAAGGTCCAAACTGCAACGCGTGTCTCGTCGGCCACTAAAATACATTCACGCGACTTAATTCAATAGCAATACTACTAGTTCATAAGAATTCAATATGCTCGCGCAAACCCTTCAAGGTCGGTCTACAAAGGTGGTGTGCGTGGAGCCGTTGGGTGTGTTTTATTTGACGTGGCCAAAAACAAGGGCTCCAAGCGTCTGTCCGTATCTTGATCGTGCGACTGCGTTCGCCTCGTTGCCCTTCCATTGAAAAAGCAGCGCATGACGCCGTCGCCTCGAGAGGCTTCGCGCAAAAAACGTACTGATACGTGGGCGCTCAGGGGGGTCGACTTGTGCCTTGAGAGGGGCGATGAGGCTTCCTTTTGAGTAGCCGTTGCACGAAGCATGGACAGTGCGTTCTTGCCAGCGTACTGTACGGAGCTATGATCTCGACAAACTAGATCGATCAGACGTTCGTTCTCTGCAATACTGGCTGTAAGCTCGATGCCGGAAGAGTGCGTGCACTAAAGTATTAGACAGCGTCGTGCGTGGGGACGTTGGAACAAGCGTCAACGATCGCCTCGGTCAGCTCCAAGCTACTTGTTCTGCGCCAGGGCGGGTCTGGAGGCGCTTCTCAAAAGACAGTGACAAGTGTGGCTACGGTGACGAGATCGGTGTCGAGTGCGTGTGGTAGCGTCGTCATCAGGCGGGCGCGCCACGGTGCAGCGCCTGAGCGTTCAAAGTACTCGCGACGTTGGCCGCGAAGCCGGGCGCGCTGCAAAGAATGGGATTAAAAGGCCGCACCGAGCTTGAGCGAGCCAAGACACACTGTGTACAGGTATTGATTGACATGTACATTATGGTCGACTCGTGGCCAGACCATTTTGAAGGATGCAACACGTATGCAACAGACATTCGAACCAACTACTCGGAGTAAAGAGACACTAGGTTCGACCACGGTGTCCTGCTCGAGCCATTTCCAAAGTTGTAGTTGCTGGCGTCAATCTAACCCGCCTCACCCGCTACTGACTTGGTCGTTTGATCGTCGAAGAGGACAAAGGCGCATTGGGTCGTTCCTTGTGTGACCGGACGGAGGCCCCTGGATGCTACTTGGAGTGGATTGTCGGTCGCTCGACTTTGAGGCAGCGATGTCTCTGCTTCTTGCCTTGTCCGTATTTAGACCGAGTGCCCAGCTCGGCCGATGGATGACCGTGGCAAGGTTGTCCTCACGGCGACTCGATCGCGTCACACGTCATTGCTCACGTCGCGCGATCTGGCTATCGCCGGCGTTCGCTTACAAAGTGCTGTTTGCCGTATCCATATCCAATCACATGCGTTGCACGCTTCTGGTTTTACTCTTGTAAGCGAATTCATGGGGTGGAATGGACCAATTATTCACGCCTGGACTTTTAGTGGCCCTTTAATACCTTAGGCTACATCCTCGCAACCCTGTTAAATGCATTTCTATACCCTTAGCCTAAGGCTCGCCTCGATCCCGCGTCCTCAGATCGCAGTACTCTATACACCGCATCGCAACAGGGCAGCCAAGGCAGCGACGGAACGATTGCCTCAGCCAAAAGGTCTTGGAGTCTATCAGCGAAATACCGATCTACATACTTCATACATGTAGTATAATACCAGCGACACCACCATTTGGCAGCGCCTCTAGTCAACCGTAGGTCGAACCTAAGGTAACATCCACGTCCAAAGAGCAACCTCGGCCTTTCTCACAAATCGATGAAGAGCCCGGCGGTCCCGAACGCGGAGACGGTCGCGCCCCGCGAGAGCGTGAGCGGCTGCAAGGCGTCCTTGCGGCGCGTCATCTGGCTCATCTTCCCCGTCGGCATCCTCGCGGCCGTGATCGTCGGCCTGCACGTGGCGGCGCGGCCAGCACCGACGACCGTCTACGTGGCGCAGGCCATTGCCGCCGGCCGCGTGCCCGTGCGTGGCGTCAACCTTGGCGGCTGGCTCGTCGCCGAGCAATGGATGAACCCGCGCTCCGACATTTGGAAGGATCTGCCCGCGAACGCGACGTGGACCGAGGTCGACGCGGCGGCCGCATATGCGTCGGCGGCCGCGGGCGTCAAGGGCCAGCTGGGCGCGCGCTTTGAGGCGCACCGCAAGAGCTGGATCACCGAGACCGACATAGCAGCGATCGCGGCGGCCAACTTCAACACGATCCGCATCCCTGTCGGGTACTGGATTGGCGGTGCGACGACCAACGCCGACACGAAGAGCAGCTTGTGGGCTACTTTTGCGCCCGGCGCGTTAGCGTATCTCGACACGGCGGTCCAAACGTGGGGCCCCAAGTACAACCTGTCAGTTCTCATCGACTTGTATGCGACCATGAACGGTAACCACTGGCCCGACCCGGGCGACACCAAGGTGCCCCTCGCCAAGTACAATACGACGCTCAACACGACCATCTTTCTGGCGACGCGGTACCAGAAGGAGCCATCGTTCCTTGGCATTGGCCTCCTCTCGACACCGGACGATAGCGCCCACTTTCGGTCGCTGCTCTACTACTACATGGACGCGTACCGCAACGTGCGAGGCCTCGCTTCCTCGATCGTCGTGACGACGTGTGCGAGCCGGTCGTTCCAGCGACCTGGAGACTTGACGTCTGTCATGTCGGAAGACAGAACCTTTATGAACTTTCTCATCAACCCGGATGTGCCCGATGCAATCACGCACGCGTGGCACGAGTGGCACGTGCTGCCGGGCATGAACGACACGGCGCTTGCGTCGGACCCGGCGACGTGGGCGGCCCGCATCGACGGCTGGAAGTCGCGCGAGCCGCTCTTCATCGGTGCGTGGACGCTTGGTGTTGGTGCCAATGCCTCCGCGCCGACGACGCCGGCCGACAAGCAGGCGCTCGCGGCCAAGCTGTTGCCGGTCGTCAACAAGGCGCCGCGCGGGTGGGTGTATGCGAACTGGAAGGTCGCGGACGGCGCGCGCGGCTGGGGCTGGTCGCTCCAAGACGTGCTCAAGGACGGCATCAAATTACCGTAATACCACCGGTGAAAACACGGTCTTTTTGCACGTGTTCTGGGTTTGCTGTCAGAGTTGCCAAGGAAAAAACGGAGAGAGGTCGAGCGATCCGCGGGGCCCGACTTGGTGGAAGAAAGCAAGCTTGGGCCAAGGAAACAAATCAATTTTCGTGGCTTGGGCGTTTGCAGGCCTCTCGCATCGACTCTATCGTTCATATGCACTGTAAAAGACGCTGGATAAGCACTGTCAAAGACGCTGGATGGACACTGTAAATGACACTGGATGGTCATTTTGTTCCTCAATTGCTCGGCCTTTCGAGGAAAACATCGTCCACTTCTTGGCCCTATCATGTCGCGAAAGTGTGCGACACAGGCGGTGCGATTGTTGCAGAGCTGGCCGGTGTCAGCCAAGACGATCTCCACCACCCACGCAGTCGTAGCCGTCGAGTGACATGGCATAACGGCGGTTGTGTGCTTGGTTGCCCGCGCGTATTGTAGCCTGCGGCAAGGGGGATCGCAGCTGCTTTTTTTGAAAGACGGCGTTGACTGCGATAAGGTCCCGAAGCAGAATCGATGGTCCCACGTCATGGAATACATCTCTACAAAGTGATGGACAGAGAAAGCTTGTCACGTGCACAACGTTTGCTTGTTATGGGTTTCTGTAGCTTGCGACTGCGGCTTACCTTGACGCTGTAGCATCCAAGGTCCATAGACGCAGAAGAAGGCAGTGATCGCCGCGCGTGGGTCAACTGGTGCGCTAGCACAGCACCTGGAGGAGCGTGCTGCGATGTGTGGGAAGGTCTTCGTCGGTTCTCAAACAAGTCAAGACGCTTCTCGAGCACTTGGCAGAGGTACTTCAACGTCAACTGCTTGTTGTTACTCGACTTGCCCTTTACCAGCCTACTGCACGATGCTTCTGAAGCGCAACCTGACATGCGCAACGGCCATCGACGGACCGTAGCAAGCAAAGTGCTGGGCTTGAAAGTACCAACTGCTCCATCAATACTGCAACAACAACAATAGCACAACCGTGGCGCCCGACAGCAGACCAGAGACTTCAGAGCATTCGAGCTGTTGGCAGAATGGTAGTCTGTCCCTCGAGCGAGGGGGCTATGAAGCAGTGTACGCATCTCGCACCCACCGATCTGCGGAGACGATGTGCTCGTCGGCTACCTTTTGGCCCAGTGTGTCCGTGTGTCGGTTGAAGACGTACGTGAGGAGGGGCTGCATAGCTCGATGCATCCAGGGTTTCGTCGCTTCGTCGAGACTGAGAGCTAGCATGACTTTCTCGCAGCGTCTTCAATTCTTCCACCTTTTACTCGTCCCGCTCCTAGCTGCGAGCGCTCTCAAAGCACCGCAGCTGCGTGCTGTCTCGGTGTCTCGGTCGGTCGAGTCACCAGTCCGACCGTCGCGTCGGATGCAGATAGGTGCCTTTATCTTTGGCTCGTGGATATATTCACAGAGACGGGCCTCGACACACGTGGTCGTGTACACATACCCAGCGCGTCGAATGCACCCAAGAAGAGCCAGGTCTCGTCGTTCTGTACTACCCTCAACCAAACACGCTCGGTTCTTGTAATGCATTTTGCTGCACCAATACCGTCAACGGATGCGTCGACGCTATCGACAAGTCAGGGCTTCGTCGGGTTGCGTCTTGACGGTGGTCTACACGAGGCTACTCGGACACATACACATGCAGTGTAGTACGGAGATGCTGCTAGTAGTCGTATGTGCTGTCTGTCCGACGACGACCGCATCACCTCTGTACGCAGCGTACCACGCGTGGCTGAGAAGAAGGACGCGCTTGTCTCTAGGGTTGTGTTGGTCACGGCGGCGGAACGCGCGCGCAACGTGGCGGCCGCAGAGACCGCGCGATCGCAGACAGGCCATCATTCAAAAGGAACCCATCGCCTTCGCATCACCGGCTGGAAGACCACAATACTAGTTATTTATTTCGTAGTCCGTGCCATAGAGACGACTTTAGTGTAATGGCGAGCGCAGACCCAAGGGAGCGCGAAATGATATTCACGGGCCTGATTCGGCCGGCCGAACGACAATTTGGATAAATACACCCAACCAATGGTAGCCCCAGTCGGTGGATCGAAGCGAGCGCGCATTGGAAACATCGAGGCAACCCACTGTATGGTTTGAACGCGACACATATCGCACACGGAATCTGTGGCACCCAAGCTCGAGAACCCTTGCCATGCCGTCTTCTCTCTGGGTGTTGGTGTTTAGATACTTCGTATTCGGCGTCGACGGCGTAGGTCGCATCACGCCGTGTGCGGTGGTATGTCCTTGTGGTGATATACTCTAGGAGGTTAGGCGGTCGAGGCTGTTAAAATGGGTGCGCTTACTACCGCTTTGTCGTCGCTCCGTACGTTCCAACCAAGTGGCGCGCGAAATCCTCCTAGCCGTACGTTGGACGCCAAGTTTGCCTTGGGTTGTTTACTGGATTAAAGTATACTGAAGCGTTGAAGTTGGGTGCGACTAGTTGGACGAGCTGGCTCGGTCACATGGGTACGAGAAGTAGCGCATGGACAAGCACGATTTTTCATCGTGTTTATGGCGTTGATTATGGGGAAATATGGTGTCGGCAGCTGCTTTGCCCCCTCGCTCGCATCACCGCGACCAAAGTGTTGCAGTAAACGCGCCGTCCCTTTTACCCGCTGCAAAAGAAAGCGATGTGTTCTTGAGGACAAGCGCGTGAGTAACGTAAAGATTCTCCCTGCTATTATAATACTGGTAGTGCTGCGGTCGACGTGGAGATGGAGCGTACAACACTTCCGCTGCACCTCCCCTTGATGGAACGTCCCGTTGAAAGATACACCACGTGGCTGCTGAAGCTTGAAGCGCTTGATTCCGACGACATCACCACGAGCACAAGAAGCATCCACCCAAAATGGCCTCGTCAGCAGCGTCACTGGAACAGACTCCCATCACGTTCGACATACCGTCGTCGCCAAATATTAGAACCAAGACTGCACCTGTCTATGGCCGACAAGGCCACCCAAGTGTTAGGTATGTGTTAGCATCGCTGTTAGATCGCACACTCAAGCCCACTTTGCCGTTTCGTCATCCGCACTTTGCTGTTTCAGCGGTTATAACTGACGTTATAACACTGAGCGTTTCATGTTGGCAGGTACGTGGCGCGCGCAGCGCGCAGCCGACACTCTACGAGCCATGTCGCTCGTGTTCGGCCGCGCAGTCGTATGACACGGGCGTCCTACTCTTGGCTGTGATCATAATATACAATCCGTTTCCACGTGCAGCCCGCCTCCATAAATACGGACATTACACCGACACAAAGAAAAGTCGTTTGGATCCAATATGCGCCTTTGCGTTGACGCCTCATACTTCAATTCGCCTCACATGTGCATCCTCGTTAACAACCGCGACCACACAGCGACAGCAGCATCCACGCCGTCGACAGGCGGCTGTCGGCGACCGCTGGCGCCGCCCGTCTTAAAGCCGCTCTTGCCCCAGCCATCGACACCGACATCATCGTCGTCGTCGTCGTCGCCGCTCTTACCGTCCTTGCATCTGCTTCAACAGTTTGGCAAGTTTGCGCCATTGCCACGTCTCGTACGCAGCATCTCGATGCAGATCCCGCCCCTTGCCAGCATTGACCGACAAATCTCGTGCCCTGTCACGACGACTACCACCACAGGTACTTGATCCAAGTGCGACAAGCCCGTGTGCTCATCATCCTGTATTAGAACTCAAGCCGCTCTCCAAGAAGCGCAAAATGACCATGGATGACATTACGAGTACGCTCGAGTCGCCGCCGTTCAAGAAGGAGCGTCGTGACGTCCCATCGACCCCGACGCCGGCGCCGCTGGCGCCCCCGACCAAGCCTTCTTCTTCGCGTGCCAAGTACGTTATTTCTTTGTGTGGCCGACCATGAGATCTTATTGTTGTTGTGTTTGCGTGTATAGTGCACGGCAACCGTCGACGATTGCGCGCCTTAAGACGGGCAAGGACGTCTGCGTTGTGCTCACGGCCGCGGGGGTTGTCGACTGGACGGCCACGTACTATATGTACGGCTTTGACAAGAACTCGGTGTTTTACTCGCTCATGCCGCTCCGGAAGCTCCACGAGCCGTGGTCCATTGCTGAGACCCGCTACTGCGTCGAGCTCGTCCGACTCTTGCAGGCTGGGCACATGCGGGTGCCCCAAGGGCGCATGATGGACACATACATTGCTGAGAAGCTTCACTGCGACGGCCTCCGCGTCTCCAAGAAGCTGCGTGCGATCAAGAAGCGGGACCACGCGGCCATGGGCAAGTTTGTGGGCATGTCGCCGACCCAAGTCAATATTCTGAAAGACTGCAAAGTGGACTTTCTCAAGGGTCTGCAGCCCGAGATTGACGCGATCATGGAGAAGGAGCATCTCGACCAGAGCTGGGTCGTTACGGTCAAGCACCCCGTGCACGCGCAGCAGCACCATGCGTCACCGTCGTCGTCGTCAACCTAATGGTTCTCGCACAATAAAACGCAAAAAAGAGAAAAAACGCAAAAATTTCGAACCCCGTGTTTCTTTTTCGCGCGCCATTTTCCGTGCCGCCACGTGGGAGGCGGCACAGAAACACGCAGGCGCGATCGTTGAAGCGCCGCCGACGCAGATCGTGTCATGCACCGAGTTGGCATCTTGGAAATAGGGCGTTCTTGAACAAGTTGTATCGTTGAAGCGGCTATAACGCAAGGGTCAATAAACTCTGACCCTTGCAATAATATTCTCTCTTGATCGCGGGAAGGGCTTGTCGCGATGCAGATAGTAAATCCGCGTTCTCGGTGCACCCGTGTAGGTGGCTCGATACATCCTGGCGTCGACTTGCCACAAGAGTGCGGGATATGTTAAAGATGCGAGTCTTCGCAAGCGCTTCTTGGCACAGGTGCAATGAGCTGAACAGCTTAGCAAAAACAAGCTCTGGGGCCGCGTCGCCAAAGATAGGGTCGTGGAAGGGCACGCGCCGCTACTAGTTGCGACGCAAATCTTCACAAACATGGTCGGTGCAACGAGACGCCGCGTCGGTGTCGACACAAATGCACTGTCTCGCCGCCACTGTTTTTGTCGCGCATCCAGTGTTTCCAAATACACTGTCTGCCAAACAATCATTCTTGGATCTTGGATCCTGTGTATCTTTCACAAGCGTCTGTTTTAAACAGATTGCACAGCGACAAGCCAAGGTACAGCATGCAGAGTCCAGCGTCGGTGGCGTCGCCGCGCAGCAGCAGCTGGGCGCACCTCTCGTCTCCAGCGTCGTCGTCGTCGGATGCGCCATCGTCGGTCGTCAGCGAGGACAGCTGCGCCGGCGGCCACTGGACCCACGGACCGCCAACGCTGGACCCCACCTACTACTGCCTCGAGCCTGTACGGCGACTTTGCGAGGGCAAAGGCTCATATCACCGTGTAGCCTCCGAATGCACGTACGCGCTACGATACTCTGTTAGCGCAGATGGAGGCCATGTGCGCGCTCAAGGCGGCGGGCGCCTCGCGCGAGTCGCTTCTGCACGCTGCCCATGCGATGCTGGCGAGCACGCCTGCGCTGCGCAGAGCCGCGGCGCGCTTGCGACAAGGCGAGCAGCAGTGAAGTACTCCACGTGGCATAAAGGTAAAACACGGATCGAACGCGCTATAGATGCGAGGGGCCTGGCGATCGGCGTCCCATCCATCGCACAATGCGCGCGCGGTGCGACGACCACGCAACCACGCAATCCATGTTCCTTGCCCATTCCTTTATTACTGTATATCAGTATGGAGGCCATCATCCTGCTGGAGAAAGGGTGGCAACTTCAACGTGGCGACAGGTGTGGATCGGCAATACCAGTGTATGGTCGTATACCGGTAGCCCCACAGACACGCAGCGACACAGAATGGGGCCGACCCTTGGCGTTACCTTGTTCCTCGCACAATCCCGCAACTCGCCCTTGAACGCACTGCCTTGAACACGTCTCGCTTCAGGCACTCGAGCGCATTGAAACAGCTGGCACAATATCAATACAATTGCATGACGAAATTCCGCCACACGCGAAAATGGAGCCAACACGAGCTTGCTTGCGCCAGTCTGGTTCGACACAAAGGTAGGGCGTTGCGGCTGCTTGTGTCTTGGCTGCGTGTGCGCTTAACGGCGGAGAAGGGGCACATTTATACCCCCATGGCGATATTTGGCAAGCACGTCATGAGTCATGCGCTGACCACTACGGAGCGTATTTATGTACAAGTACGCACGCCGGAGCATGCAGCGGCGTTGACCTAGGTGCAGCGGCCGCTCCGATCTTTCTCCGTTGATTTGATGCGAGTTTTAGCAATTTTCTCATTTTGTTCCAACGTCGCTCGCTGCCTGTAGAAATGCACGCGTCGCATCGCTCTACAGCAGAGCAAAGCGTACGCTTCTGTGCTGGCGCGTCGTCGAGTCTCGCAGCACCGAGTCGAAAAGGAAGAAAGACGTAGGTTTTGATAAAGTAAGTTGGATTTAATATAGGTACATCAGGTAGTCAGTATTTGATCGCGACCACCCACGATTGATCGAGGCCGACATTGGCCATGACCGAGAGCACGGAGCGCTCGAGTGTGCTCAAAAAGTAACTTCGGAGCTCCTTGAGCTCGGCGAGAGCAGACGCGGTCGCGCCATCGACCGACGACGGCGACGGCACGAGCTTGAGATACCGGTGCACGCGTTCGCGGGTTGTGTGCAATCGCTCGGCGATGAACGTTGCCGTGCAGCGGCCATACGGCACCCGCACATGCCCATCCTTGATGCAGCGCTGGATGGCTTGGACGTAGTTGAGCTCGTCTTGCGTCCACGGTGTCGACGTTGGTCGCACCGGCACGATCGTGCGAAAAATGCTGTTCGAGTCAAAGCCGTATTGCATGTACGACGCGACCCAGTTGACGTGGCCGTGGTCAACGACGACGCAGACGTCTTGACCCGTCTTGAGACGCGCCAGAATCGCGCGCGTGCTGCGGTCTGGTCTACGTGCACTATGAGCTTATTGCATATATAAGCCATGTACATACGAGGTGGCGGACGAGAGGGGCGACGACGACTCGGGGCTGGTCGTGCACGCGTCGTCTTCGTCGCACGAAGAACAGTTCATGGCTTCGTCGTCGTCGTCCATGGGCGACAAGAGCGCTTGAATGGTGTTGTAGCGAGGGGGCGTCCGCGATGGCATCGGGCCGGGGCACATGAGCTTTTCGTAGCTGGAAAAAAAATGAGCTCCAAGTGCAAGTGAGCCAAATCCCCGCGACGCGTGTCCCACTGTGGCTGTGTGGAAAAAGACATGCCGCGTTTTTGTAGCCAACTCTAGGGAGCCAATCACGGACGCGGTGCGGCAACGCCAGCCCACGTGAGCGGCGATGGCGTATTTATGCACGGACCGAAGGCGCCCACTCCGTAGGTTGGATTACGTCAGGGGCATAAATCAACTCGCCTAGGATTACGTGTGTTCATCCCATAAAAATGTAACATGTGCCTGAACCGCAAGCCTTGGACGCGTGGCGCGGACAAGTCATGCCGCCGTAACAAGTCAGGGATTGGCTAAAAATCGACGCACACGTATACAGGCGGCATTCGATTGGCTAAAATACGTCCTTTAAGCGATGCCGTGGCTCAGGACGATGGCGTGGAGTACTGTATTGCAAGGGAGACGTACATTGCATTCATGGCTATGGTATGGGACGTGGGCTGCACGTACTACCGGATGGAGTCTCGTGCGCGGCCAACTTGTGTCCGTGTTAGCACCGAAATGGACGCAAGCGATTGGACGTCCGTGCATGGACAACCAGTCGCCATAGTCACGTCATCCATTTGCAGAGTATGCGTGTGGCACGTTCGGTTCGGTTCAGTGCCGTGTCTGATCATTTCATGGTACGAAACGTCATGTCTGGTTGACCCCAGAGCCTGCGATCACCGGCTGCGCAGGAGCCAGTTGGTGGTCAAGTCGCATTGAACGGGGACGATTTCGCGTCAAAAGGATTGGCCCCATCCTCGTTTCGATGCGTACAAACATACCGTCATCATAAATGGGGACAAGCGTTCGCTCATACTATTCGTACGATTTTCTTGGTTTGTTCAAGACGCTCGGCGGATGATGACAAGGGCTGCGAAAGAGCATTCAACAATCGTGGGTACTGAACTCAGGTCATTCGCTCAGTATTACTCGGGACCGGTATAGAATCGTCGACTGAACGCATGCATGACCCCTACTGGCATAGCCCCCGCCTCAAGAGCAGGAGCACGGTCAATTCATTGGCCATGACGATTTCTCCGGAAATATGGTTGCTGCTGGGATTGTTGCTGACGTGAGTCTATTGAATTGACTCACGTGAACTACACTAGTATCCAACTTTTAGATTGTACACTGAACTGTTTTGGGGGAGGACGTTCGACTTCACGCGTGTTACGACTGACGGCAGCGGCGAGGCTTAGCGAAGGCGAGGCGTATGGATGGCGCAGGCCGGGACGAGGTGGTCGCGAAGCTAGATGCGCGGTAGAAAGTGGTCGGGCTGGCGATACGCGGCGGCTACGGCCACCGTCGTAGGTGTGCTGTAGTGCTCCTCGGGTAGCTCTAAGTCATTTGGCTCTAGGTACCGCGTTGGACGAAGGCACGTGGCCTCGGCGTGACGACGGGCGCGTCCCACGCGTGGTGGCCAGCAGCTTCTATTTTCCGCCGAAATTCATGCGCCATTGTGGCGGCCCGGGCTCGGCGTCGGGATCTCGTGCCGATTTGAGTCATACCGGTACGATCGCTTACGGTCGGCCACTGTACTGAGTACATGTCTACGATGCTTTCACCGTAGTATTAATGCAACCATCGCTTCATTCTCTGTCTTTCTCTCATTATTTTCCCTCGCATTCCCACACATTGCAAGATGCGATTTTCAATATTACTCGTATAAATTAGACTACCGGTATATCGATCGAGTCTCACAGGCCACTGTGAAAAAGCATAATCTATAATAGAATTCGATATTAGAGAGTTTGCGAAATTCGTGATTATACTATATTATCGTCGTTTCGACACACGGTACGGGCGAAAATGATATTGCCTGCAGCACTGCCCAGCCTCGCGATAGGCGTGGCTTAACGGGCGCCGACATCTAAAATGAGTGTTGTTATGCAACTGCGCTCTCGAACAATGCTTTGTGTCGCAAAACTCCCCTTTCATTTTTATTCCCACTACAATTCAAACCAAGGTTGTAGTTGTTGTTGAAGTGGGTCGTCTATTACAATAGATAAAAACTATGCTAAATAAAATTGTCGGACTTTCTTCGTTGTGTGTACTCGGATGAGGGACTTGATTTAGGCAGGCGGAGGCAGGAGCGCGATCCGCGGGACGAGGTGACGTCGCGGCCACTCGTGTTGGGCGAGGAGCTGGAGAAGACGACGAAGAGCAGGCTGCTCGGGCTCTTGTACGAGGCTGTGGTGCACGTGCAGTTGAGCGACACGTGCCGCCTTGACGGCAATCGTCCATGGACTTGGCAGCGGTAGGTCGGCGCGGAAGACGCGGTCGTTCCGGACTCGCCAGACGTTGAACCAGACGCAGGCGCGGAGCACGGGCCAGAGGTAGCGGAACGCGGCTTGGTGCATGCTGGACGCCGTCTTGGGCGTCGAGTAGAGGTAGCCGGAGAGCGTAGTCGGCAAGGTCACGCCCAAAGGGACCGTGAACCAAGGTTGTAGTGTATTCTCTGCCGGTGCTCTTTACCACGTGAGCGATCTGAACGATTTTGCACCCGGGCAAGCACGACAAGTTGTTGGCACGGTTAGAGCAAGTGGAGTGCCTTAGAGTGTTGCTGAACGAGGCGCTGAACGTCCTCTAGACACGCGACCTTGATAAAGTCCTTCTTGATCGTCGCGACGAGCGCAACACGCGAGGCAGTGAGACCGTACTTGGTGCGGAGTTTCAAGACCGCCATTCGCACCTCGTGCAACTGCGTCAATTGCTGCCCTGTCGAGGTCGTCTCGCGATCCAAACCTTGAATCTGACGTTGAAGGGCATCGAGGCGATCGTTGAGCTGCCCGATTTGGGCTTGCGTCTGGCTCTGGGCCGCTCTGGTCAACGCCAAGTCGCTGCAGAGGCGCGCCAGAGCCTGTTTTGAGCCTTCCAGGCGGCGCTGCGCTGCTCCGAGATCGTTCTCGGCCACGGAAATGAGGCCGTCGATCTGTGAGTAGAACGGGATCGTGCGTCTGAGGTCGCCCGAAATGAGACCAGCAAAAAAGCCGTGCAGCGGAATGAGGTCGTATGCGGCGTTGCTCTGCCGCTGGCGCTCGGTGCGAATGACATTTCCGAGTCGGTGGATCTCCGCGTGCTCCCGAGCCACGTTGCCTTGGTGCATTCGGATCGACGCCTCGTGCTCGGTGAGGCGCTGGTCGTACATGGCCTTGTCGTTGAGCGTGGATCGGTGTTGTGCGACGGCGTCGGCACGGGCGGTCGTCGCCTGCGTCAGCTGCGCGCTCAGACGCGTGAGCTTGGCCTCGCATTTGGCGCACGCTTGGTCGTTCTCTCTTTGGAGCGCGTCAAGCAGGTCGGCGGCCGTGCGGGCAAACGCCTCGGGTGAGACGTGGCGGAGGCTCTCAACCAAAGACATGAAATTGATCAATGAAGATCGTTCGTCGAGTTGGCGCGTGGTCTCATTCCATGCACAATGGCACCAAGCAAGCGACAATAATGCTTCATATTGCTGTGTCGGCTACGTCAGGGTTGTCGTCGCTGATCGTGCCTTCATTCTTGCAAAGGATCAACAGTGTGGCCGAGATGCGACGCCCAAGCTGATTATATTTTAAAACGGAGCGAAGTCAACGCGCCAAAACCATGTCCGAGCCGCGATGCAAAGCCTCTTGCGCCCGACGGAAGTAGCCGTGATAGGGCTTGCCCATTCTTGCCACACGACAAAAAGAATCAACTCGAAAGATATTAATGATAAAGATATAAAGATATCTGACATCCCTAATGATAAGTCGATCAATAATTCTCGTTCAAAGCATCTTGTGTAAAATTTCGAGACACCCTATTGCAAAGCACCAAGTGCCTTTCTCCGGTGTGGCTGGCGCTTATGCAGTGCCTCGACCACATGCTTGATCAGTGGTCAGGGACCAAGGTGATGAGGGCTCGAAAGCTACGATGCCTTGCAGGATACCATAAGTTGATAATTCCGTAGTATCCTGAGAATACTACGGAATTATCAACTCGATACTGCCGTCCGCAAACAGTCGATCTCGGCGCTAGTTTCATTGAAATTATGCTCTATAGAAATTGTGGTGGTGGTTTTGGACCCTATTTCACTGGAGTTGGCTAACGATGACTTGCACTTGAACAATCGATGGGTTCATTTTCCAATTGCCCAGCAAACACTCAACACGCTTTCAATGACGACCAACTTTGTCGACCCGACGAGTGCGATGGAATCGCTCGACAACTACGAGACCGACGTGCAGCCGGCGCTCGCCAACGGCCAGCTCATGCAAAAAGTGGTCGCCAAGGAGAAATCGCTGGCGGCCACGAGCGGCCAGCAGTGCATGCAGTCGCTCAAGGACGCAGCATACTACCTCGAAACCGCCATCGCTGCGTCCCACGGGCATCCGTGCAACACGTCGATCATCGGCCTCACGAGCCGGTACCAGACGCTGGTCGTTGACACGGACATTGCGTGCGCCAATTACCTCAGCTCGTCGATGGAAGCACTCAAGTACTACAAGTATGCCTTCTTTTTCGTCGGTGAAGGTGACATCGACGAAGCCAAAACGTTGCTGCAGGCGACAGCCGATATCGCCGCGAGTTTGGAGGCAATCGCGGAGGCGCTCGAGCAGCAGTCCACCACGGCCGTGCGCGAGGCGGAGGCCAGCCTCGAAGTGACGAGCAAAGCGAGCGCGCTGGCCCACGAGACGAAGGACAAGGCAGCCCAAGCACGTGACGCTGCGAGCGCCCTGAAAGAGGAACGGGAAAAACGGAAGACGGACGAAGAGAATGCTATCAACGCGGCCAAGACGACACTGGACGCGGCTGCCCGCGCGCGCCAAGTGCAAGACAACGTCGATATGGCCGACATCAACGTGCTGTGGGGCCTCTGCCGCGTCTCCCGCGAAGGCGAGCGCGCCAAGCTCAAGCATCTCCAAGAACTCGAGAATGCGCAGTGGACCGAGTACCTTATTGTGCTCAAGAAGCAGCAAGAGAACAACCAGGCGATCAACGACTTGGCCCTCGAGCTCGCGAGCTTGGACGCTAAGGGCGCCACATACGAGCGCGCCGTGAAAGCGCTCGAGATGACCGTGACAACGCTCGGTGGCATCAAGACGTGCTTTGAAGAAGTGCGCAAGTTTTGGGCGATGCTCAAGAACCACTGCCACAAAATCGCTGGCCCCAACACGATCTTGGAGACAAGCTTCATGGCCGTCGCCCAAAAAGGCACTGGCTTGCTCGTCAAGGTCATGACCGACGACTGGTACCGGTGGCTCGCGCTCGCCAAGACCAACTACGCCGCGGTACTTGGCATGGCCGACGTCAAGACTACCGTGGCCCGCATCATGTCGACATTGCCCAACTCGGCGGAAGCCAGCAAGCGCCTTCCTGCACTCATCAAGGGGTTGAAGTCGAAACTCAAGGATAGTAACACGCACCTCCAAAACCAGATTGAGGAGCAAACAAAGAAACAGACAGCGATCGTCGCCGACTAGCTACTCGAGGCGTCGCTCTTAACTCGCGTAACGATTCGAGTGTACGTTTTGAAAGCGATGCAAAGACATTCGGGTGAGGGAAGAGGACCGACTGCCCAACTATTAATCTATTCAGTACAGCACCGACTCGGAGCCGCCTTCGCGTTCACGGGCTTGTCGGAACCAGACCCCCGTCGAGATGCTTTCTCAATAAGTACGGCAGTCTTGCGTTTTGGCCTTGGTCGGCGAGGATGTCTTGGTCCCTTTTCGCCCACCAACAAGCTGTTGAAAGCCGTCGTCCGATTGCATCTCGTTGACGGAGAGACAAAAGACGGCGAGTGTTGGGCCACCGCACGTACAAAGTACTACTTGGCAACAGTGCCACCGTCTTTGGTTTCGCTGGGGGAAGGTCAACCACGCTTTACGCCCCGAGACCTAAATTGGGCTCAAAGTAAATGTTCATCTGCATGACGCACTGCAGTCCGTACCTCCTCGACTTTCAGAACGTCTGCGCGTCGATCGCGTTCGTCATGAAGATGGCCACGTGTACGTGCTTCTGAGCTCGTTTGTGATTGCCGACGTCGACCACAGCATGCAAACCGTCGTCGGCACGCACATTCTAATAGCTTGCACTTTGCGCAGGGTTCGAGTGCTGCAACTTTTCAAATTTGCCGCGATGATGCTCCATCAATCATGCCAGATCGATACACAATTTGTGGTGTCTCATTGTACAATGTAGATAGATACCTTTTGACCAAGTACAATGTTGGGTGGAACTTTTGGAAACGACTGCATCTAGAGACATATAATGGGATTGGTGCCCATGCGAAGCACACACAAGTATGGATGGACAAGCCACTTTCTAGCCATATCTCGACTGGAAAGCAGCATAGTTGAACTGAGTCATGTTACATGCCTATTATAAAGATATGGTGGACTTCCTAATGCGCTCGTGAGGCGTGGCCGGTGCGTCAGCGAGGAGCATTAGTGGTCGTGGTTCGAGATTGTGCGAGGGACCAGGTAGCGTACACAATAAGGGTCGTCACGAAGAGTGACCAGCGACGCGTCAAGAGATGGCACCACAGCGCGACGAGCCAAGTACCGGATATGCAGTCGTGCGATAGTAGCTGCCCGGATCGCAAGCGCAGCAGCGGGAAGTTGTGTCAGCGTCGAGCGGAAGACACGGTTGTTGCGTTCGAGCCAAAGACAATACCAGACGCAAGCACGTAAGATTGGCCAGAGGGCATGGACGGATGACTTGTGGGTCGAGTACGGCGCGGCGACGCCGTCGTAGAGAAAGCCAGCGACACACGACTGGAGTTGCATCTGTAAAAGGCCTCGCATCGGTGCAAAAGCGCGCCAGATCGCTCGGACGTATGGGCAGCGCACCAAAAGATGGTCGTACGTTTCACGGGCTTGCGCATCGCAGAGAAGGCAGCGTCGAGCATCGTGGCCGAGAAAGTGACGTTAGCCGTATCGTGTGAGCCTTGGATCGAGCTTGGACCACCAAAAAGGTTGATGGAATACGCCAACACTGTTTCGCTCCTTTAGGAACAGGAATCGACGTCGTTTCAAAAGCCTATATTCGGGGTGTTTCATCTCGCCGCTTCCTTCGACGACGCACATGCTGCGTCGTTGGGATCTCGCGGGCTGGCTCTACGTCGTGTGGTCCACGGCGTGGAGCATCTACGGCCTATATCTCTTCTTCCCATGGACTGAGAACGATTTGTACTGGCCCAGTTTCGACAGAGTGTTGCCAGTGCTCCAGAGCATGTTGAATATGCAGCTCGCACTCCTACCCAACACAACGCTCGACATCGATGATATCGCAGCGCCACGCTACCGCGTCTACGACCAATTGACGACCGGCGTCTCGCCCGTCTACCCGAGGTACCTCGTGTACCAAGAGCTCACCAGCATACCCACTGCGCTTCCGAATTTACGTCGCATGGATCCGGGCTACCTCAACTACATGATCACACCGTACTGCTGGGTCGACTTCCATCGGCGCTGGTCCATCGCCCACACAAGCAAGCGCCTCGCGCGCTGTCTGTTGAGCGACATCGACAATGGGGCCGTGTACCTCGAGGCCGTGCTGCGCAACACGAA